GTAGACTAATAAGGCGTGCTCACGAGAATCACGTTTTTTTATAGGTCCCTGTGGACAAATATGATCAGTTGGAGAAGAGCATAAACGAGAAATTCAGTTGCGTCTCCAGTGAAAACCAAATGGATTTACAAAGGAGTTTATATAACGAAATCAGTCCGATTTGGGTTCAAGCAGAACATGATGCAGAGGGAAACTCGGGGACTGCTCCTACCTTTTGGAAATCTCTTCATAGTTTAGCATTAAATTGGAAGCACTTCTCGTGACCCAGAGACTGTTGCTTTAATTAGTCAACCTACTTCTATAATTCGGTGGCGATTGGTATCCACGACACAGAACCCGATGGATTTCACTTCCATGGAGTCTCCGACCCCCATTTCAAAAGGCATGTGCAAGTAACTCAAAGGACCCAACGTTCTGCAGTAAAGTCCAGCCAATTGACTGGTTACGCTTATTACTCTGTTCCAAAATCCGTAAGCCTACTTTGGGCTGAAAAATCTACCACAGTGGTCAACGCTGTCGTGTTTGAACGCAAGGCGAATAAACTAATTTGTCAGTGTTCTTGGAACAAGTAAGTAAGGAAAGTAGCTCAGTTTCTTGCGTTTAAAAGCATTTGCTCATACCCATCACACAATGAGATCAGATTTGTGCAGTAAGGTCAGCTGATGGCAGAAGCATCTCATATTGCCACCGGATATAATGTGTTTATTTCAAAGGTAATACTCCCCTAATGAAATATGCCCGTACCACTTTTTGAAGCGCCGACGAACAGCATACCTCGCATATCGTATCCTGTCATCTAAAGTTGCCTTCTGTACTTTAGCACAAGGCTCCAAAGCATCTGAATACGTATCCTATCGTTTATTCCAAAGAAGAATCATGTCACGTAATTAATTATTCATGAGAAAAATTAGCGAGAGTGCCATATGGGAGTTTCATCACGACTGAAAAGGAGTTTCGGATACTCGAGGGACCTTCGGAGTGCGTAGGAGAATGTCGCAAGGCATAACACGCTCGGTCGGCGAAGCCCTGTACACAGATAATAATATCATTATCAGGAGATAGAACCAATCCAGATATCCACCCTATCATTTCTGCAAGTTTAGACTGTTTTGGGCCCCCGACTGTGCGCGAGTGACTATTGTGTTTCAAGAAGTTTGCTTG